GCCCCATCCTTCCCACCACCACACAGTGTGTGAGAGGACCGGTTTCCCCCAACACCCTCAAGCTTTTGTCTTAGCTGTGAGTTTGAAATTTTGTCTCAGAATTTTGAGGTGCTGTTATTTTTCTGTCTTGGAGGTTTTGGCGTATTTTAAGCGCTTATTTTATTTGTTTCTTTGGATGTCATCCACTTTAGGAAACCAGTTTCCTCTTTGGGCGTTTGGGTGTTTGTTCTACATCTTCATTTGAAGTTCCTTTTCCTTAACGGAAGAGGAGGTAGAAGTGAAATAGGTGATTAGTTCAGCCTTCTCGCTGTCATATTTGCTGAACAGACAGGTAAATCTGTTGACTGACTGATGGCCCTGTGTCTGCTGGAGCCTCAGGTTTGAAGACTGTATGTATGTTCAGGCATCACATCTGCATCCAGGACAGAAAGCAGGGGAAGGTACGGCCGCCTTCTGAAAGGCAAGGCTTGTTTTGTTTTGTTTTTAATTGTTTTTTAACGTTTATGTTAGAGAGAGAGAGAGACAGAGTGCGAGCGGGGCAGGAGCAGAGATAGAGGGAGAACAGAATCCGAAGCAGGCTCCAGGCTCTGAGCTGTCAGCACAGAGCCCGATGAGGAGCTCGAACTCATGAACCGTGAAATCCTGACCTGAGCCGAAGTTGGACGCTTAACCGACTGAGCCACCCAGGCGTGGCTGAAAGGAGCAGCTTTCCAACAGCCACCTGCCTTTGTAGGCAGGCTGCTTACCCCTTAAATTTGTTGTTGTTTTTAACGGGAGCCCTGGATGGGATACAGGCCTTTGTGTTGCTGGAATTGCAAGTCTCTAATTCCTGTTTCAATGTGAAAACTTTGTACATTTGTTATATTTTTTTTAATGTTTATTTATTTTTGACAGAGAGAGTGACAGAGCATGAGCGGGGAGGGGCAGAGAGAGAGGGAGACAGAATCCGAAGCAGGCTCCAGGCTCTGCGCTGTCAGCACAGAGCCCGACGCGGGGCTCGAACCCACAGACCGCGAGATCATGACCTGAGCTGAAGTCAGACGCTCAACCAACTGAGCCACCCAAGCACCCCTTTGTACATTTGTTATTTGCATAAATATAAAAATTAAAATTAAACATAAATATACAAATAAACAGATTATGAAAAGAAAACAACCCTCCAAACCCACTTTTCAGTTTGGTGCCTGTTCTTGTAAGTATGTGCTTAACCGTGACCTTAATTTTCAATATCAGTGTTGTCCTTGTTTGTTACCACCAGCATATGGGCCATACATATATATTACGACTCTACAACTAGATTTTTTTCCACTTAGCAGTATATACTAGACGTTTTGCCTATGTGAGGACATACAACTGTGCCTCATTCTGTGTAATGGGTATATTGTATACTATACATGTCATTCTTTTGCCCTCATCAATCCATCACCCACCTTGTATCCTCTGTGCTGGTGACTGACATCTAAGAACAGCATCATCTGGGCTTTGGTGCCCTCTGGCTTGGAATCAGCTGATAATAGACATGGACAGGGATCAGAGGGTGAGTGGTGGGAGAAGTCAGAGCATTTCTTATCCCCTCCCACCCCTTACTGGGGCTCCTGGAGCCGCTGTGCCCTTGGTAGTGATCTTCCTGATGGCTGGCCTCTCTTTTCCAACGATACCCTTTGTCTCCTGCTCTTTCACCTTGAGGGCAAGAGTAGCTTCCTACTGTTGATAGTTCCTGGATGCTTCACCACCCGTGGTTGGTTCCTTTCACTCTACTCACACAGCTATAAAAAATCCTGTCATTAATTTCCTTCGGTTCATTCTCTGCATGTGCCATCTGTTTCCTGCCAAGACCCCAGCTGATATAGATGTCATTGTGTAGATGCACCATAATTTATTTGTTTGGTTCCCTGTTGATGGACATTTGAATTTTTTTTCTAGTATTTTGTTCTTATAATGAGTGTTGCTAATGAACATTTATGTACCTATTTTGTAAAGTATTTGTTGGAATGTTCCTTTAGGAAGAAGTCACAGAAATAGAAATGCTGGGCCAGGGTGCACGAATGTTGTAAATTTCAGTAGCCACTTACTTCCCCATTGCTTCTGAAAGAGTCTGCCATTTTACATTTCTACAGTGTGGTGTTTGGTTTTTTTAATGTTAAAAAATTATAGAGGTAATACTTGTGACTTACAACAAATAAACTTAACTTAGAAATATATAAAGGAAAAAGCACTTCCTAACATTGCATCCTATTTCCTGGAGGTAACCCCATCAACAGTTAGCTATGTATCCTATCATGTTTTTTTTCTTTATAAGATTTATATCCTTACCATAGAATAAATTAATATGTAGATAAAGTAAAATCATTTATACATGTATGTATGTGTGTATACCTCTATTTATCTATCTCTACTAAGAAAGCTCATTTGTAGACTCTGTTCTATTGATCTGTTTGTCTTTTCCTGTGCCAGTACTTTTTTTTTTTTATTTTTTTTAACGTTTTATTTATTTTTGAGACAGAGAGAGACAGAGCATGAACGGGGGAGGGGCAGAGAGAGAGGGAGACACAGAATCGGAAGCAGGCTCCAGGCTCTGAGCCATCAGCCCAGAGCCCGACGCGGGGCTCGAACTCACGGACCGCGAGATTGTGACCTGAGCTGCAGTCGGCCGCTCAACCGACTGAGCCACCCAGGCGCCCCGAGTTGTTTTTTTTTAATTTTGTTTGTATTTTTATTTTATTTATTTTTAGTTTTTTGAATTGTTTTGATATCTGGTAAGGCAAATCCTCATTATTTTTCATGAAAAAAAATTTCTTGGCTCTTCTTGGGCACGAAGTCTTTGGATTAACTTCAGATTTAAGTTAAAACAAACAAACAAACATGGATCTTGGCTGGAGTCAGACCGAATTTATAGAGAACTGACATATTTCCAATATCGAAACTTCTCACTTAGGAGCCTGGTATGTTTTCTTTATTTATTCAGATCTTTTATGCCCTTTGGTGAAAATCTTGCCCATTTCCTCCTAAGTTTATTTTTAGATATATTATAGGTTTTGTTGCCGTCATGAATGGAATTCTTCCTCTTACGTCTTCTCATCACTTATTGTGGTATAGTTTTTAAGAAGATTTTTGTGGGGTGCCTGGCTGGCTCAGTTGAAAGAGCATGTGACTCAATCTCAGGGTTGTGAGTTCGAGCCCCATGTGGAGTGTAGAGATTACTTAAATTAAAACTTAAAAAAAAAAAAACCTGTTGAGTTTTGTAAATTAATCTTATCACTTACTTATTTGTTCTGATGATTTTTTCAGTTGATTCTCGGCTTTTCTAGGTGGACAGTTATATAATCTATAGTTGATAACTTTTTAATCAATTTATGTATAGTGTTTATACATAATTTCTTTCTCATATGTTACTTCATGGCCAAGATATCTTAGTGGGGTAGGGGGTGGTGATCCTAGGAAGTCTTCCTGGCTGATGTTACATTTAAGGTGAGCATCAGAGAATGCTGATCATCAGAGAATGTTCCAGGCAGGCCTTGAGGAAAGAAACAAGGCTGCGTTCAGTGAGTTGGAAGAAGAAAGGCAAAGGACACAGACAGGGTTGGGAAGTGCAAGAGATGGGTTGGAGAGTAAACAGGGGTACAGTCAGAAACTGCTAAACTCTAAGGAGCAATTCCTTTATTCTAAAGGAATTGAGAATTTAATGAAAGATGTGTTAGGCAGAATGGCCCCCCAAAGATGTCTACATCTGAATCCCTGGTATCCATAAATATGTTCCCTCATGTGGCAGAAGGGACTTTGCAAATGCAATTAAGACTGCAGACCTTGGGGAGCCTGGGTGGCTCAGTCAGTTAAGCATCCGACTTCAGCTCAGGTCATGATCTCACGGTTCGTAAGTCGTAAGTTTGAACCCCACGTCGGGCTTTGTGCTGACAGCCCAGAGCCTCCAGCCTGCTTTGGATTCTGTGGCTCCCTCTCTCTTTATTCCTCCCCTGCTCATGCTCTGTCTCTCTCTTTCTCAAAAATAAAGAAACATTAAAAAAAAATTTTTTTTAAAGACTACAGACCTTAAAACAGGGAGATTATCCTGGATTCTTCAAGTGGACCCGACCTAATCATATGAGCCTGAGAAGCAAAGAAGTTTCTCTGGCTGGGCACAGAAGCAAGATGTGGTAGAAGGGGAAGTTGGAGAGATTCAGAGTGAGAGGGACCTAACCCAGCGTGGCTGAAGGGGGCCGCGTGGAGCAGAGACTGATATCCGGCCAGGAGATGGGGACATCAGCCCTACAGCTGCTGGGAACTGTGTTCAGCCCATAGCTGGAATGAGCTCGGAAGCAGATCCGTCTTCGGTGTCTGTAGAAAGGAACACAGCCCTACCGACCGACTCCTTGGTTTTGGTCCTGTGATGACACCCTGTGCAGAGGACCCTGTTGAGACACAGTGTACCGGGACGTTGGGCAGCCGGAGCTCTGAGACAACACATTTGTGTTGCTTGGAGCTGCCGGGTTTGCCGTACTTTGTTACACGTCAGTGGAACGCTAACTCAGCGGGGTTGAAGCAGGAGAGTGGCGTCAGAATAACGGACCAGTCCTACCTCCATGTGAGAATGGATCCGGGAGAGCGCACTTCGGAGGCGGGGAACTGTCTGTGGGAATGCAGCAGTGGTGTGGACTAGGGTAGTGATGGGGGGAAGGGGCATGACTCAAGACTTATGTGGGAGGTTGGAATCGCCACAATTTGGTCATTGATTGGATGCTGGGAAGGAGGGAGAGGAGGAACTCAGGGACAATTGCTGAGTTCTGGCTTTGGATGCTGAGTGACTGGTGGAGCTGTGTCTCAAGGCCAGGATGGGGAGCTTGGAGGACTGCTAGGTCAGGAACTCAGTGGTAACTCCAGGTGGTTCTTCGTTTGGAAATTCTCCTGTAAATACTTATTTTAAGATAGAGTATATCAACAAGATGATTGCTTTATCCTTTAAGACCTGAATTATTTTTTTGATTTTTTTTTTTTTTTCCTTTTAGGTCATGTAGGAAATTGTAAACCATGTGAAGATGGGACTCTTGGTATTTGTGCGCAATCTGCTGCTAGCCCTCTGCCTTTTTCTGGTACTGGGATTTTTGTATTACTCTGCGTGGAAGCTGCATTTACTCCAGTGGGAGGACCCCAGTAAGTATGGTCACCCCAGCCTGCCCCCAGGGAACGTGGGGTGTTCGCTGGGCTGCAGTGCCCTCACACCCTTCGGAGACAGGCAGTGAGAGGAGACCGCACGCTCCTGGGACTCAGGCTCAGAAATTGCCTCCCATTTTTGTGGCTGTAGGTTGAGATCTTTGATGTTTTTCAAAAACTGCATGCCATGGCATATCCTCTTATGATCTCCGTAAAAACATGCTATTCTGCAATAAAAGCCCAAACTCTTCCAGTACTTCTGGTTTCTGAATGCCGTGCTTTTTAATTACTAAAGTGCGTTGCCTCTCCCATTTGTATTCGTTGCCTCGGGGCTCCGTATCACAGCTGGTTTTCTTCTGTCCTGAAAACGTTCACCTTTACCTTTTCTTTGAATTTGCAGTTTTCAATTTAATACTGTCTTTGTTTTATGTTCCCTGAAGAAATTTTGTCTACCTAGTTATTTTGTCCTTGCTGGCCCTGAACTTGTACCTGAATAGAATAATGGCTCCCCTCCCCACACCCTCCCCAGTACCTCCTAATCCCTTTCTCTGGCTTGTACTCCTGGCCTCCTATGTTACACAGTGTTTGCCACATAGTTCTCTGTACCCCTCTGACTTGGTTTCGACTCATGCAGTATGGCCTGTGCTGTGGTGTTTTGAGGCTTGTGGTCAAAGGGCTCGCATTGGGCATCACCAGCAGGTGCACATTCTCTTCTTGGATGTTGCCCGAAGTATCACACAGTGACCATATGTAGTTTTCCTTTTGGTTCTGTTTGTCTAATGGCTGGCTGAGCTTGGTGCAGGAAACACTGGGTAGTCTGGTCCTGATTCCTGGTGAATGTGACTTCCCTAAAATAGTTTTGTTTTTACAAACATTGACTGGCTACCAGTGTAGAATTCACTCGAGAGTCGAGTCAGTCTCTGGGTCTGAGGTTAAAATGAGTGGGAAGAGGCAAGTGGCATTGGCCTACTATTATTGTATTGAGACCTTGATAGCGGAACCATTCCTATGAAGTAATTCATTTATTTCTTACATGGCCCAAACTCCTGAAGCAGTTTCAAGCCAACTAAAAAAAAATTTTTTTTAATGTTTATTTAGTTTTGAGAGAGAGAGAGCAACAGAGTGTGAGCAGGGGAGGGGCAGAGAGAGAGGAAGACACAGAGTCTGAAGCAGACTCCAGGCTCCGAGCTGTCAGCACAGAGCCTGATGCAGGGCTCGAATTTGTGAACCGTAAGATCATGACCTAGCCGAAGTCGACACCCAACCGACTGAGGCACCCAGGCGCTCCTCAACCCAATTTTTAAAATCTCGTGTTACCTGTTTATTTATTTTTTTTTTTAATTTTTTTTTTCAACGTTTATTTATTTTTGGGACAGAGAGAGACAGAGCATGAACGGGGGAGGGGCAGAGAGAGAGGGAGACACAGAATCGGAAACAGGCTCCAGGCTCTGAGCCATCAGCCCAGAGCCTGACACGGGGCTCGAACTCACGGACCGTGAGATCGTGACCTGGCTGAAGTCGGACGCTTAACCGACTGTGCCACCCAGGCGCCCCTCATGTTACCTCTTTAACTTCTTGTTTTACGTGAAATGTTTCAGTGCCTCTTAAACGCTTAGCTTATAATTTTCACTAATTACTTTGTCTTTCCAGAGTTTATTTAAATTTCTCTGTCCCAACTTATTTTTTAAAACAAGAAGACTACCCAGAATCATGTGTTTGCATCAGTGCAGTGCAAAATTCTGTAGTCAAAGGCATTCTTTATATCCATCATGGATAGATTTCATCTGTATCCGTAAAATAGAAATATGTTCAAGGAATGGTGGTCTCCTTTTCTGTTGAGAACTGTTGACCTGTAGACAACATAACTAAGAATTAGATAATGTTTTTGTAGAGAAGTTGAGAAGGACATTAACTTTATGGAAGACCTATCATATGCCAGGTGTTAAGCTACACAACTTATTAATTATATTAAATTATATGAAAAATTAAATTAAAATAAATTTACTTCTCACTGTAACCATGTGGAGATGCTGTTATCCCTGTTTTCCAGCTGAGCAAACAAGGACTTAATTAAATGTTACACAGCTAATTATTAGAACCGGAACTGAATCCTGGTTTGTCTTTAAAACCCATGATCCTGGGGCGCCTGGGTGGCGCAGTCGGTTAAGCGTCCGACTTCAGCCAGGTCACGATCTCGCGGTCCGTGAGTTCGAGCCCCGCGTCGGGCTCTGGGCTGATGGCTCAGAGCCTGGAGCCTGTTTCCGATTCTGTGTCTCCCTCTCTCTCTGCCCCTCCCCCGTTCATGCTCTGTCTCTCTCTGTCCCAAAAATAATAAATAAACGTTTAAAAAAAAAAAAATTAAAACCCATGTTCCTTATTTTATTGAAAAGTATAATAAATACTAAGACTAAGGATAGGATTGAATTCTGTATTCTCATTGGTAAAAAGAGAGGAGAGGGACTCAGAGAAGACATGGCAGAGAGTGTCAGGACGGAGGCGGAGAAGAAAGAAGGAAGGGAAGTAAGGGGAAGGGAAAGAAAGGAAGTTCTCCAAACGAGCGAGCAGTTTATTGGCTTGGAGGTGGCACGGTGCTGTGTGTTCACGAGCCAGCGCTGTAGGCTTCAGTAGTTTATTAATAGCTGTCTGCTTTCCTTGGAGTGAATTATCAGCTGACTAACCACTATTTGCATCTTTTTGTTCTTCTGACACTCAGGCCTTTTAGATACTTGACTTTGAATAGGTCGTTTTAGACCGTCTTACTGTAGCATATTGTTTTCTGTACTGTAACATCAGAGAGCAGGGTAATATGACCAACTCAGATGTCTGACCAAGGCGGAGAAGTGTCTTTTACTCAATAAACAAAAGTCAGTTTATTGAGCCTCCTCTAGGAGATGGCCATTGTGCAGTGAAATTTACTGCTGCTGCTAATAATAATAAAATGAAAATAGTAATTTATTGAGTGTCTATGTGCTGTGATGGGAACTTTGTATTCATAATGTATTTGAACCTCATAGTTTATTAAGATTTTTTTTGTGGGGGGCTCCTGGCTGGCTGAGTCGGTTAAGTTTCTGACTCTCAATTTTGGCTTAGGTCACGATCTCATGGTTTGTGAGATTGAGCCCTATGTTGAGCCTGCTCTCTCCCTCTCTCTGCCCCTTCCTTGGTCGCATGCTCTCTCTCTCAAAATAAACAAACATTAAAAGTTTTTTTAAATTAAATTTATTATTATTATTTTTTTAATGTTTATTTTTGAGAGAAAATGAACAGGGGAGGGGCAGAGAGACAGGGGGACAGAGGATCCGAAGAAGGCTCTGTGCTGACAGCAGACAGCCTGATGCGGGGCTCCAGTTTGTGAACCATCATATCATGACCCGAGCCAAAGTCGGACACTTAACTGACTCAGCCACCCAGGCACACTGATTTCTTTTGTTTAGAGACAGGGAGAGAGCATGAGCAGGGCAGAGGGGCTGAGGGAGAGAGAGAGAGATGCAAAGACAGAGACAGAGAGAGAGAGAGAGAGAGAGAGAGAGAGAAAGAGAGAGACAATCTTAAGCAGGCTCCATGCTCAGTGTGGTGCCTGATGTGGGGCTCAATCCTGTGACCTGAGCCAAAATCAAGAGTCAGACGCTCAACTGACTGAGCCACCCGAGTGCCCCTGATCCTCATAGTTTAGATTGATTACTATTATCCTCTCTTACAGATGCAGGAGCTGAGGCCTCAAAGAGGCTCAATAAGAGTTTGTATGTCTTTCATCCGGGGGGTATTTCCAAGTTTGAACAATAAATGTCTTTAGCATTATTTTTCCTTAATTTTTACACTTTTTTATGACTTACCAAGGTTATCTATTGGAATTCCTTCATGGTGGTGGGGGGAGTCTAGAGATTTTTATTATTAAATTATGCATTCAGTAAGCAGTATATTCCTATTTTGGCCCATGTACTATTCTGTGTAAAGTGGATATAAGATGAACATAGACCTTCATGGTCTCAGCCTATTGACACAATTACAGCTCTATTTTTAAAAAATAGTTTATTTATTTTTGAAAGAGAGCGCGCAAGCAGGGGAGGGGTGGAGAGAGAGGGAGACAGAGAATCTGAAGCAGGCTCTATGCTGACAGCAGTCAGCCCAATGCAGGCCTCGAACCCATGAATTGTGAGATGACCTGAGCTGAAGTCGGACGCTCAACTGACCGAGCCACCCAGGTGCCCCTTATATGTTGTGTTCTAAAAGAGATGTGTGTATGAAATGCCATGTTAGGGCATAGAATCCCTTCTAGACAGAAAATCTTATGATTTCATCAGTCCCAAGACATTGTGGCAGGGTGCACACTGCTTTGTTTTGAGCAGCTTAGAGCCGTGTGTGGCCAAGGCTTGGTCAACTTGCCAGGACCTGGGTCAAGTGCGTAGCCTGAAAGGCTTTAAGTATAAGATTCGTCTCATTATCAACTTGTTTTTAAAAGTTCTGTAGCTTGCAGTTTTTGGTTTCTCATGTTAAGGAGCTTGGAAGTTACCACTCTGTCCTCACAACACCTAAAAACCTGAGCAGACAGAAAAACCAGTAATTCTTTTTGGATCCATAAGAGAGGGGAGGACACAGGGCAGACTGCTGCCTCTGAGATTGGAGAGACAGGTGAGTACAGGGAGTGGCATGCAAAAACTGTCACGGGAAGCAGTGTCAGAATAGGAAAACCTGAATTATAATAGATGAATTGCTGGAGGCTCTGGACAAGTCCAAGAATCAAAAACTCTAGGAGGAGCCAGTCACAGGGGGCCCCCACAATATTGTGAGATTTATTTCCAGGGGCTCAGCCAGATTCTCACAGGAGATATTGGGGAAAGATCTTCCCATGCATCTGGCACATGAGAAGAAAGGAACCGTTTTGAAATATGCCAGGACAGTTTTTTCTTCTTAACAAGACCTGCCCTTAAGGGAAACTAGTTAACCAGAGCCCAGCCTGTTGGAGTAGTATCAGAGCCTAACTGACCTGGGGAAAGGGAAGT